TAGCCCAACATTAGCCACCTTTAGCTTAGCGGTGGTGACGTGAAGTCATGTGACGTGCTGCTGTAGTTCCTTTATAGCCCAACATTAGCCCCTTTAGCTTAGCGGTGGTGACGTGAAGTCATGTGACCGTGCTGTAGTTCCTTTATAGCCCAACATTAGCCATTAGCTTAGCGGTGGTGACGTGAAGTCATGTGACCGTGCTGTAGTTCCTTTATAGCCCAACATTAGCCTCCTTTAGCTTAGCGGTGGTGACGTGAAGTCATGTGACCGTGCTGTAGTTCCTTTATAGCCCAACATTAGCCACCTTTAGCTTAGCGGTGGTGACGTGAAGTCATGTGACCGTGCTGTAGTTCCTTTATAGCCCAACATTAGCCTCCTTTAGCTTAGCGGTGGTGACGTGAAGTCATGTGACCGTGCTGTAGTTCCTTTATAGCCCAACATTAGCCTCCTTAGCTTAGCGTTGGTGACGTGAAGTCATGTGACCGTGCTGTAGTTCCTTTATAGCCCAACATTAGCCACCTTTAGCTTAGCGGTGGTGACGTGAAGTCATGTGACCGTGCTGTAGTTCCTTTATAGCCCAACATTAGCCTCCTTTAGCTTAGCGGTGGTGACGTGAAGTCATGTGACCGTGCTGTAGTTCCTTTATAGCCCAACATTAGCCACCTTTAGCTTAGCGGTGGTGACGTGAAGTCATGTGACCGTGCTGTAGTTCCTTTATAGCCCAACATTAGCCTCCTTTAGCTTAGCGGTGGTGACGTGAAGTCATGTGACCGTGCTGTAGTTCCTTTATAGCCCAACATTAGCCTCCTTTAGCTTAGCGGGTGGCGACGTGAAGTCATGTGACCGTGGGCTGTAGTTCCTTTATAGCCCAACATTAGCCTCCTTTAGCTTAGCGGTGGCGACGTGAAGTCATGTGACCGTGCTGTAGTTCCTTTATAGCCCAACATTAGCCACCTTTAGCTTAGCGTTGGTGACGTGAAGTCATGTGACCGTGCTGTAGTTCCTTTATAGCCCAACATTAGCCACCTTTAGCTTAGCGGTGGCGACGTGAAGTCATGTGACCGTGCTGTAGTTCCTTTATAGCCCAACATTAGCCACCTTTAGCTTAGCGTTGGCGACGTGAAGTCATGTGACCGTGCTGTAGTTCCTTTATAGCCCAACATTAGCCACCTTTCGCTTAGCGTTGGTGACGTGAAGTCATGTGACCGTGCTGTAGTTCCTTTATAGCCCAACATTAGCCACCTTTAGCTTAGCGGTGGTTGACGTGAAGTCATGTGACCGTGCTGTAGTTCCTTTATAGACCCAACATAGCCTCCTTTAGCTTAGGCGGTGGTAGACGTGAGTCATGTCGACCGTGCTGTTGTAGTTCCTTTATAGCCCAACATTGCCACCTTTAGCTTAGCGGTGGTGACGTGAAGTCATGTGACCGTGCTGTAGTTCCTTTATAGCCCAACATTAGCCACCTTTAGCTTAGTGGTGGTGACTTGAAGTCATGTGACCGTGCTGTAGTTCCTTTATAGCCCAACATTAGCCACCTTTAGCTTAGCAGTGGCGACGTGAAGTCATGTGACCGTGCTGTAGTTCCTTTATAGCCCAACATTAGTTGTCATGTATTATTATTATATAGACTGCTCCAAAAAAAAACATTGTAAACAACAACCAGCAGGTGGCAGTGTTTCCTTGTGTTTTACTTGAGTCTACAGATATCACATTACAGGAGTGTGTGTGTGTGTGTGTTGTGTGTGGTGTGTGTGTGTGTGTGTGTGTGTGTGTGTGTGTGTGTGTGTGTGTGCTAAGAGGTCTAAAAGGCGTGTCTCTGTTGGTTCATCCACAGAGAACTTAAGGTAAAGCAAACACACAAAAAGAGAACAAGCCTTAAATTAAATTAGTCATATTTAAGGCCTCAAAATGTCTTAAATATGTCTTTAAATGAATGCTCTGTTGTTGTGTTTACACCAACGTCTATCTATAATTATTCACATGCTCTCCCACGTTTTATATAGAAACTCCATTCAATCAACAAAACCATTACCTCAACGGGGATATTTATAGACCATTATGTGGCTCTGGCTGAGAGGGGGTGCAGTCGTCTGTAGGTTGTCGGTTCGATCCCAGCCCTGTAGTCAACATGTTGAAGTTTAGCAATTCAAAGAAACGCCTTTTTTCCCCCGATGTGGATTGTTCATTAATCCCCGGTGGGGTTTTTACTGACACATTTCCTCATGTTGGAATAGTGAGGTTTACTGAATACACACTTCACAATCACAGTGTTTACAATACACTGAACAAACAGGGTGTGACAGATAAAGGGAGCTCAAAGAAAAAACACTTTTTGTTGTAGGCACACACACACACACACACACACACACACACACTGGTACTTCTGAAGTGTAAATGCTATCACTTAGCTGTTAAAGGTGAAGATGTTTAACAGATTCTGGATGAAATGAAGTTATGTTGATGTTAATTACATCACATGTTACTTGTTAGACGCTTTTATTCAAAGAGACTTACATACTCAATACTGTGGACAATCCCCACAGGAGCACTTTGGGGTGAAGTGTCTCAGGGACACAACGACATGCTGACTGCAGTGGGGTTTGAACCTGTTACCCCTGACCCACTGCGCCACACGCCTCTGTGTCATATTAAATATGAGATTGTGAGCCTTTTCAAGCTTCTTGCTGCTGCGCCTCCTTTCTTTTTGTGTTTGCAGGAATGCAGGACGTCAGATCATGTTCCTGTAATGTCACAGATGAAAAGACGGAGAGGAGATACTGTTACCAACACGGAGAGAAACAAGGAGCAGCTGATAAACAACAAGAATCTCCTGCTGGTGTTCTCTACTTTAAAGAGTCCTCTCCTGCTGATGTTCAAGTGTATATCAGTATGTAGTGTCTCTACTTTAAAGAGTCCTCTCCTGCTGATGTTCAAGTGTATATCAGTATGTAGTGTCTCTACTTTAAAGAGTCCTCTCCTGCTGATGTTCAGGTGTATATCAGTATGTAGTGTCTCTACTTTAAAGAGTCCTCTCCTGCTGATGTTCAGGTGGTATATCAGTATGTAGTGTCTCTACTTTAAAGAGTCCTCTCCTGCTGATGTTCAGGTGTATATCAGTATGTAGTGTCTCTACTTTAAAGAGTCCTCTCCTGCTGATGTTCAGGTGTATATCAGTATGTAGTGTCTCTACTTTAAAGAGTTCTCTCCTGCTGATGTTCAGGTGTATATCAGTATGTAGTGTCTCTACTTTAAAGAGTCCTCTCCTGCTGATGTTCAGGTGTATATCAGTGTCTCTACTTTAAAGAGTCCTCTCCTGCTGATGTTCAGGTGTATATCAGTGTCTCTACTTTAAAGAGTCCTCTCCTGCTGATGTTCAGGTGTATATCAGTGTCTCTACTTTAAAGAGCACTACAACTTAGGCGCCGTTTAGACGAGGATAAAACTGCTTGTATCTGCATAGTTTCGCGTGCGTATAGCCCTATTATTTAGACGAGGCCGATAGAAACTGACCACACAAACGATAACGGGTCCCAAGGTGGATAGATTTGCAAACGAAACGCTCTGGGGGGTCAACCGAGTCCGTTTAATCGCCTCTATACGAATATTGCCTGAAAAAATAACGACAGCCCCGCCTCTTCGCACCTCTTCCCACCTCTCCCCCCCGCCTCATTGCTGATTTGTTTCTACAACAACAACAACAAGAATGGCGGATCACAGGGTTGCTGTTGTGCTCCAGACGCTACTGACCATGATTAATATGTTAGTGCTACAACTACGGTGCTTCTACGACAACCACAAGCAACTAGTGGACATGAAGAACCACATACACGACATGTGGCTAAATCCACCGCGGAGAACAACCAGAAGGGCGACCAGGAGAAAGTTTTGGGTAAGACCGGGCAGAACTAGCAGTTGGTGGGACAATTTTGTCAATGGCGTTGTCGTGGACGATGAATGGAGGGAGAACTTCCGCATGTCCAAAGCCTCTGTCGTTGCCCTGACTGAAGAACTGCGCCCATATATCGAGAAGAAAACTACAAACATGAGGGCGCCAATTGATCCACTGAAAAGGGTTGCTGCGGTTCTTTATTACCTGAGCGACGAGGGAAGGCTACGGAAGACTGCTAACGCCTTCGGAGTTTCCCGTCCGTCTTTGTCCCTCATTATTAGGGAGACATGCAGAGCGATCACCATCCACCTGGGTCCAAAATACATCAAGCTGCCTTTTACTGAGCCCGAGACCGCGGATCTGGTTGAGGGGTTCCATTGTACACATGGCATGCCACAATGTTTAGGAGCAGTGGACGGAACCCACATCGAAATCAAGCAGCCATCTAACGACTCCACTAGCTACATCAACAGGAAAGGAAAATATTCCTTTAATGTACAGGCTGTCTGTGATTACAGGTACCGATTCATGGATGTCGTGGTAAAGTGGCCTGGGAGTGTGCATGATGCACGGGTCTTTGCTAATTCCAAGCTAAACATGTACTTAAAAACTGGAAAGATCCCTGCTCTGAAAAAACAGATTGTGGACGAAGAGGAGGCCATACCATGTATGTACATAGACTGTACATTTTATTTTAAAGGTGTTTATTAAGATGTGATAAACATCCTTTGTTACATTCCCTGTCCTCACTGTGCAGCTCCTTCAGCGACAGGCTGCTGTACAATATTCATATACCTGGCTAGGTATATGTACCTGGCTGCTAAATCTGAGGACTGTTACAGGATTTTTTGTATTATATCCTAACTGTTTTTAGTACTTTTTAATGCATGTCACATGTGTGAAACTAAGCAAATAACTATGTGATTCTCCAATGTCAAAAGTGTGAAACTAAAAATAAAATTGGCTGCAACCACTTCCAGACTTTCTTTGAACTTAATGTGCAACAAATGTCATCATCCTCATGAATGAAGTTATATGGCCCATTCTACCGAGTCAGGTTGTCCATATATATTTTGTACCGTATTTATTTACACATATAGTAAAAGAACCGTACATTTTGATATGGTATTTTCAGACTGTATTGGCCACTAGCGAAACATAGTACATACACTGTAGTAAAAAACTATTATATTAACCTGTTAAGATTGTGTTACCTTCCCTTCTCTAAATAGTATTTTAACCAATATTTGAGGATTTTCAGTAAAAGTAATATAAGCAAATGTTGAATCAAAGTTGAATTTATACAATTCATAAAAATCATAATGCAAACTTTCTTTGTGAAATGCATAATACTGATCATATTGATTCCAGAGATGAAATAGAAGGGAATGAGGCTATAATGGGTAATTTTTTTGGTATTTTGAGCAAAACACTTCATAGACATGTTTTTTATATATCTGAGACTATAATATATGCCTAACAATAGTTTGGGCTTTACCATTAAAGCCCAATGTGACATATCACAGTTCAGATATTTGACACTAGGGGGGGGTTACTTTTCATAAATGTGGTGTATTTAGTCAAAATTAGGTTTACAAGGTGAAAAGGACTTACAGCCTCCCACACACTGATATAGATATCTCACTGACTGTAATGAGGGAGAAGGAAAGAGAGTGAGGAGAGTGCTTGCGGAGTACATTGACCCTTACATGAAAGATAAGACTGTTCTTTTATTTTAATAAGGTTTTTTATTAATAACATTATTTATAAATGTGTACACAGTAAAAGGGAAAAAAATACCTTTGCTAGCTAAAAAAAAAAAGGCTTAAAAAAAAAGTGATTCTCCATTTGTACAAAGTCTGGTGGAGTTAAAAATAAAAATGTTTACAGACTTCCTTTGACCAAAAAGTGCTGTGAAAAAAAAAGAAGCTCACTGCTTTACTGCTCCTCCTCATCCAGTGACCGCCTGAATGAATATGGAGGAGATTGTTGCTGTGGGGTGTGTGGTACAGAGGGGTTTAATCTTGGTGTGGCCGTGTGTGGCCTTCGGGGTGGGTATGAGGGCACCTGGAAGTGTCCATATCCACTGTTGTTAGTATGAACTTGCATGAACTGGCTCATCAGGGAAAGGCCATTCTGTACAGTCACATTAATGTTGTCCATGGTGTTGTTCATACGATCCATGCTGGCTGCGCTGCGGCTGGTTGCTTCCTCCATTAAGTCCAACATCCGGCTTTTTAATCGCAGCTCTTCCTGCACCGCATGTTCAGCTGGAAGCTTCCTCTTCATGCGGTCACTTCTGTGGCCGTCCAGCCGTGCCTATAATAAACCAGAGAAAGTTTGAATTATTACACAATAGGACCATAGCCACCAGATAACAGAACACAAAAGGCATGTTGTGAAATAGCTCTCAATACATTTTACAAATAAACAGCTCTAAATACTTTCTAATTTTACCAAGCTTAAACCGGTTCAGTTTTTCAGTGGAAGGTACTGCATCATAGTATATAGCAAGCCCTTTAAGATTGAAATCATGAACATACCTGGAGCAGATCCCTGCGATGACTCACAACCGCAGCAGTTGGCAGAGTTCCGTTGGATCTACTCGACTCTGGCAAATCCGTGGAATGCTCCAAACTCGGGGATGAACTTGGTCCGGGCGACGACTCTTCCATGTCGAACAAGTCCCCTTGTACCTGTTTTAGTTTCGCTGTAAGCTGGCCCTGTGAAATTGTGTTCTTCTCGTGAGGGAAATCTTTTTCAGTCGGGGTCCTCGGATATTGCGCCTGAAATAAGTCGGCTATCTCCGTATATTTAGGCTTGCAGGACTCCCAGTCTACATTATCCTGTATTTTTGTCGTCTTATACTCAAGTGTTACACTTAAAAGAAGTTCCACCTCGTCGTCGGACCACGAAAATAGCTCCATCTTCGTTTGTTTGTTTTGTTTGTGCCTCACACACATCCGGGAGGGATCTTACTCGCTGCTTTTGGTGTATTTTGTGGCGGAAGTTACAGCGCCACTTACAGTCCCGCCATATGTACTACAGCTTTCGAGCGGTCTCGTGTGGAAGTACAGCGCCACTTACAGTCCCAGCATATGTACTACAGAGTTTCCAGCGGCCTCGTTTGAACAGACACGTTAAATGAAACAAATGCATGTGAACGGAAGACTTTTTTGAAAACGCATACTGTGCATAAACGCAAACGGCCTCGTGTGAGTGGGGCCTTAATATTGATTTCTATTTAATGTGAGTATCACTTATCGACTTCATTTCTTTTTGCAAATATAATTAATTGATTTCAAAATCAATGCAATAGATTAGAAATACATTGAGACTCAGGATTCAAGTCTCTCTCACCACGTGCTCTGCAGCTACAGTGGAGATGTGTCAATGAAAAACTCAAGTCCTCCTCCAACTGAGCAACATGAATATATATAGCACATAAAACTAATATGACAGATAAAATAGTGCAGATTTTAAATTCTAGTTCAGATTTTAATATTTTAAATAATCAAATGAATGTTTTATTTACATTAATTATTCACAATTGTAACTAATTATATAAAATAGGTAAGGGCTAATGTGCAGCGAGGCGGTCATTATGGGGGGAAGAACACCCGACAGGCGGATCAGGAGCCCGACGAGACGCGGAGGGATCTCGATTGATCATCAAAGTTTTCTCAAAGCTCGTAACGGTGCAGCTCGTTTGACTTTGGTGAAACGCTTGATAAATAAAAATGTGTTATAATTTGTTTGTTTTTATCTGCCTGAAGCTAGCTAGCTAACGTAGCTAACCTAGCACGCTTTGCACCTGTAGGCCACCGTACATATGTTTGGGTTTTGTTTTAATTAGGGTTAAATACAATGAATTGAGACACAGTGACGCACACACACACACACACACACACACACACACACACACACACATACATCTCTCCCCTCCTCCCTGTCATCACTGCTGCTTCACCTTTGACCTCTGACACTCGTTCAGACTTAATAACAGGAAGTGATCGACTCCCCGCCGCGGTGGGAACAACATCGACATGGGAAACATTTTATAAAAACCTGACGCTAAAGAGCAGGAAGAAAAAACAACCAAAATGAATACGTAGTAAACAAAAAAAAGTTCATTTGAATCAGAAAATTGTAAATGGGGGTTCTTCTCCAGCGGTGCAATAATATATTGAATGTTACTTTTATATATTACAAAAATTGCAGCTGATAAACCATTTATTTTAATGTATTTATTTTTACTTTAATTAATTAATGTACATAGTTAGATTTTATTTATTTATTTTTAATGTATTTAATTTATTTCTATATTTATTTATTTATGTATTTATTTTAATTTTGGAATTGGGTGTTATTTTCCAGTGGTGCAATAATATATTGAATGATTTTAATTATTGATGGATCAATGTATTTATTACTAATATTTCAGCTGGTAAAATGTTTAATAGATTTTTAGTTGATTTATTTATTTTTAATTTATTTATTCATGTATTTATTTTACACCATATACTGTGGGCAAACTTTTGAATTTCACCCAAAAAGTGAATCTTAAAATCCTAAAACATGAAATTGTTATTATAAATTATTTGTTGATTTAATATATTACATGTTTTTATTAATATTTTTAATTATATTATATTACTTGTATCCTATTCGTATTTTACTTTGTAATTTCATTATATCTTTTTACATTGTCATTCATATAATAATAAGTGTGTGTAACCTGTATCGGTCCTTGTGACAGCGGAGCTGCAGCAGTCTGTTGGAGAAGGAGCTCCGTTGACTGTCCAGCTGCAGGTGGAGAGGATGCTTATGCTGAACGGCTAGCCTGCTCCGGAGCAGGTTAGGTGGCAGGCTAAGAGATCAACTCAGTGAAAGCACCGCCTGCTGACCAATCAGAGCTCCGTGTGCGGAGTTTAAAGATATCAAGTCATATTACAGGATAGAGGAAATACAGAAAAACTGCCGTTGCAGGAAAGACTGCCGGCAAAAATCAACTGACTGTGTGAACGTGAACATTAATAGAATATCCCCTCCTCCCATCTTCAGAGCAATCTGACTATTATAATATTAGCGTTAAGAAAGCTTACTTAAATATCTGCCACGACATAAGTAACCGGATCAGAGTAACATTACGTACAGTCCGCGGCACTGTGAGTGCAGACGTAGATGTGTCCCATTATCATTCATATCATATCACATCATAATGTATCATATATTTCCTTATCTGAGTCAGCTGAGCCGTATCTGGCCGTGCAACACTCACAGTGTCACATACTGGATGCAGAAGTATTATTTTAAGCAACACATTAAGTTGACGAAACACTGGAGTCAAATGTAATTAAAGTCAGATCGTGTCTTAAGGCCCTGACACACCAGGCCGAAATCGGCCGTTTTCGTTAGTCGGACGATGAAGCGTGCCCTGTCGCCCAAACTCAATTTGGTGTGTCCCGCACCGTCGGCCGTGACACGCCTTATTTGGCCTTTCATGGCCGTGCGTCGGCCACGGGCAGTCGGACAAAGAAATCACTCTGATTGGCTGTTCAGCTAGCGAATCAGTGCATGAGAAGCGAAACGGTTGCTTGAGAATGTCTTCCACAAGCAACACTCCAATGGCTGATCGCTCCAGTACCGCACGAAACATGTTTTCGATGGACGAGAGTGAAAATGGAACGCACACGCTATTTGTTGTTTGTTTATATCACAGTCTGTTCTTCTTCTCTGTCTTCCGGTTGTTGCCTCTTTTGAATGACGAATACACACTACCGCCGCCTGCTGGTAAGGACAGTTATTGCCACTCACGCATGCGCAGTTCGTACGTGCTCGGCTGAAGTCTTTGCGGTGTGTTCCAGTGCGACACATGGCCAAGACGCAGGAGAACACGGCCACGCAACAGTCGGCGTCGGCGAGTTCTCTGGTGACGGCCTGGTGTGTCAGGGCCTTTAGACGGGGCAGTGATATCATAAACCTGTTAATGTACGCATTCAAACACTTTCTCTGTTACCAGCTGTATTCACCTTGCAGGTGCAGCTATGTGGCTTTGATCCTGGGTAAAGTGTTTAAGTCATGGATGTTTAAAGTTTAACTT